ACACTAGTAGGTGGACGACCTTGACATGGCAATTAATGGTTCAGACGTCAACGAAATGTAGGGCCAATGAGATTTATTTTTCAACTCAGTCACCTTTCTAGACATATAGTGGCGAAGTGGATGATATGGAGGAGGATGACACCTATACCAGATCCTGTGAGGATGTAGTTACTTTTTTATTGGATATTGTGTTGCACTATAGATAGATGATTACTTCATGATGTTGACTCATGTATAAGCTTTACATTTGTTTCAGTATGTGCTGCAGATTTCTAGTTGTTTTGAGTATTAGACATTACTTGTCTTTTTTTGATGTGTGTGATGCACTTTTCATTTTTATGGAGATATGTAGTGTTGTTGAGAGTTTTGGTATATTTATTAGTCATGCTAACATATTCTGCATTGTTATGTGATGTTGTTACATGCTTTCTTCTTTCCATTCTGGCATTTTTTTATATGGCATAAATAAGTACAAAATAAGTTTGAGGGAGAGAATGACACATGCACACTTGCTTGAGATTAATTCATATGTTTAAGTTGTGATTATACTTTTTCAGTAATGATAAGAATCATTATAATATAACAAGATTACATATTAACTTCAATAGAAGTGTGAATTCTGATTAAAGGGGTGGATTGAAATTAATGGTACATTAACCAAGACTTTCACTTTAACAACTTTTATATGAATCTTAAAAGTCTTAGAATAATTAAAACAATGTAATTATAATATAAGTAGTTAACTAAAGATAATATAATTCTTCTAGCTGTTAACTCAATCAATTTGCTTGAGTCTTGACTTTTAAATGAAATATAATATTGCTAAATTCACATTAAAATGTATTTGAGAATTATCAATTATGAGAAATTAAACAATCAGAATCTTTAAAAGAAATGTGTTTAACCAGATATAGTAATTTTTACTAAAATTAAATATGATTTTGGGCCTATAAAAAATAGAAAAAGTAAAAAAGAAAAAAAAAGAAGTGAGCAATAATATTTGAGAAGAAGCCTAAGTTAGAGTATGAAGGATAAAAATGGGAAGTCGAAATCCATGCGTAATTGATAAAACTTAAAAAATCTTTTAATGAAATTCTAATGATATTATATTCAAGTAAAAGTTAAGTGATTTTGGGTTATTGGTTGACTATTAACTGATTTAAAAATGTCCTTATGAAATGAAAATAATTTTATCATGCCATATTAAGAGCTCTGAGATCAGCTTAGGATCAGAAGACATGAATTAAATAATGGGCTAGATTATTAGACATTAATGAAAAATGATATTTGAATGCTTGTTATTTCACTTAAATAATCTTATTAGAGAATTAAGAAGTCCTACATGAGAGCTATGAATATTAACTGAGTCCAAATTAGGTATGAGATTTCATGATGGCATGTAACAGGTAAGTTTTGGAGAATTTACATGAGATAAATTTACAATATTTTTCACCAGATGTACTGTGTTTTCTTCTTTATTTAACATGTTTCCACAGTTATGAAAGGTATTGTTGGTCATGTTTACTTGATACATGTGTGGGGCGCATTTCAAGAAGCAAAAGGAGGCAAATGGTTAAATAACCATGACACTCCCACTCTAGAAGCAACAAGCCAATGCTAGGTGCCCGAGAACCTCACCCTCACATCCAAGAGGCTCGTCTGCGCCACTTTCCAACAAGTTCTTGCCACTTCCCATCACGTCAGCTCCCCAAATGATATTTTGATGAATTTGACATGATTCTTTGTTGTTTTGACACCCTAAGTATATATACGAAGATAAAAAAGACTTATGGGATATTTGGGGGCAAAGGATTGATTATTTTATATGTTTTGGAGAGTGCTTTTGTAACCCTAGAAGTTGTCTTATTTGGTTCTCCTTAAGGGGCAGATTTTGAGGTAGTTTCCTGTTAGATTTGTGGAGAGTTATGAGGGAGAGATTGTGAACATGGGCACGAGGGAAGGCTATAAAGAACTCGCATGGTACAGGGATAATTGCAACAAAATTCAAGTGAAAATTGATTCTGGTTAAGACTTTTGGTAATTTTCGATGTTTTTATTCTTAATATTATCAATGAATTTTTTTTTGGGTTCTTTCTCAATTTATTGAGGCTAATTTTCTTTTCATGATCATGTGATGTAAGTTATGTGATTTTTCAAGTTTTCTCCATAAGTTTTTCCTATAAATATTTTTGTGTTTTTTTAATGATACAATTTGATGTGTTAACCTTTAGCTCATCGTTTACTCCTGACTGGCTAAATAGGATGCTAAAACTCATTTTGATCAAGGAATTTTATTCGGTGCTTGGAGGAACAAGTAAGTTAACATATAATAGCTTAGGAGAACATACATATCACCACTTAGAAATTTCAATAAAGATAGGGGGCTAGAGAAATCCAGATAAACACAGCATGGTTAAGTTCCGCTTAAATATAATATGGTTTCTTATGACCAAGACATAGGCTAAGGAGGAAGTTGTCCTTGGTTGTCAATTATCACGTAGGGAACTAATGAAGAAACTTCGAAAATTGACTAAAATGGTGCCACAAGAGCATAAGATCAGATAAACACAGCATGGTTAAGTTTCGCTTAAATATAATATGGTTTCTTATGACCAAAACATAGGCTAAGGAGAAAGTTGTCCTTGGTTGTCAATTATCACGTAGGGGAACTAATGAAGAAACTTAGAAAATTGACTAAAATGGTGCCACAAGAGCATAAGATTCATAACCTCCGAAAACCTCCCATAATTTGGTGTTATGTTCTTATTTCATCGTTAAGAATTTATAATCATGTTTCTCGCATCTAAACACTCAAAGGACTTAGTTGTGTAATGAACTAAAATTTCCTCGTTATGAATATTTTGATCATTTCCTCGCAAGATCGAAAAGCGGACTTGTTTCCGTACCTTACTTAATCGACATATATAATTGCATGATTGATTGACCTACTGCATAGCAAATTTCGGGCATCAAGTTTTTGGTATTGTTGCATGGGAAAAAAGGTCAATTTTTTTTTAATTTAGGAAAATGGTAGTTGAAACTCTTAAGAGTTTAGATTTGAATTCTCTTGTTTTTGAGTCAACAAATATTTTTGTGAGAATTTTGTTTTATTTTTGTTTTGAAAAAAAAAAATCATTTGTATCTTTATTTAAATTCCTATGATTGTATATTCCCTATTTAGTTGTTGTATTATCTTTATTTTTTTCTTTTTGTTTTTTATGTTTTTTTTTTTCATATTTTCTATTTTAGAATAAGATCGCCCTTCACACACTTATCATTGCATGCTTAGGAGTAGTTTATGTGAATTAGTATATTTTGATCCAAAAAACCTCCAAAAACTCCAAATTTGACATATTTATAGCCAAATCGAACATCTGGATGAGAGGAATCAAATAAACCTAAAAATCACTCAAATTCAAGGTCATTAAGGCTCCCCAATCTTAAAAACCCACATATGATCAATAGAGATCAACATGGAACGTCTGTTTAGGTGTCTAGAAAAGTTATGTGCCAAAAGACTAAAATATTCATTCTAAAATAGCTAAAAGTAGGTCATCTCTCTTCACTTGGAAGGAGGGGGGAAGATCAACATGGAACGTCCGTTTAGGTGTCTAGAAAAGTTATGTGGCAAAAGACTAAAATATTCATTCTAAAATAGCTATAAGTAGGTCATCTCTCTTCACTTGGAAGGAGGGGGGAGAAGAGAATAAGCAATGAAATCTCAAAGTTTATTCTAGAGAGAAAACCCAACGAGTAATCAACAACCTCAGTAGCCGCCAGCCATCGTCGACCACCAGCCTCCGTAGTTGTCTGTCATCGTTGGCCACCACTCGCAATCACCACCAATCGTCGTTGACCACTGCTTGCAACTGTTATTGCCAACCTAATACTACATTTCAGATGATGTTTTGACTCCATCCCAATGTGGCAGAAGCGGAGAAAACAACAAGTCACAGTGTGAATGTGAGGCATTATTTCTATTCCTGAAAGAAATAAGATCATCACAGACTTTTCTAATAGAAAACGTGAGATACAAATCTTTTTCTCAAAAAATAATATTCACTTCTGCAAACATTACTTAATATCACACTTATCTTCACATGGCTTTGAAAGAGACTTTTATGAACTATTAAACTCCCTCATACGTGCACTATATCTATTATTAAATTTTGTAACATTCATCTTTCTTTTGAGCTATATAAAGCATAATTTTCATTATAAAATTATAACCCTTTTATCGTGAGAAAATGACATACTTACAAATATATAATGCATATTATTAGAGATCAAAATTCATTATCATAAAAATAATGAATGCAAATCAATTTTTAATGATGCCACATAAAAGGAGAGTGGCATTAAAACAAATGTGAGGGACATTGAGAGAAGACAACCCTTAAATTTAAGTACCACGTATAGGGGTGTAAACAAACAGAGCTTGTGTTCGTGTTTGGTTCGTTTGAAATATAGTTTGTTTGAAATAAACTCGTGTTTGAAATTGTTCGTGAAGTCACTTTTCGTGTTCATTTCTTAACGAACGAGCCGAACATGAGCTGTAATTTATATTTTTAATACATATAAAAATTAATATAAAATGATATAAATAAATAATATTATTTAATTATTTTGAGGCAAAAAAAACAAAAATTAATGAACAAACATTTGTTCATATTCAATTCATTTATAAATAGAGTTCAAAAAAATTATTCATGTTCAACTCGCTTGTTTAACAAAAGATTCACGAATAACGAGCTTTTTTGACAACCCTAACCACGTACTAGCACATAACACCTCTGATTTTTTACTCCAAAACAAATAAAAAAAAAAAAAAAAAAAAAAATCTTTATGTTTCAAAAATGGATTATGCGGTGAGCGTGGATCGAACACGCGACCTTCAGATCTTCAGTCTGACGCTCTCCCAACTGAGCTATCCCCGCAATTGGTTTTACAGTTTATTAGTACATTATTTAGAGAAAAATAAATCTTCTTAATTTATTTCTTCCTCTAAACCCTAAATTATTTGACCGGCGATCATGTCAAACGACACCGACGATTCCATCTCCCCCCTCCCCATCACCACCGAACCAAAAACAAACCCTAATCCCTCACAGCACCTAAAGCGGCTTCCAAAACGTTTCGTGAAGAATCAAATTCCAGACTCAATCCTCTCCAATCCAGCCCTAAACGCCGCAATATCCCTCCTTCCCTCCAACTATAATTTCGAGGTCCACAAAACACTGCACCGCATCTCTTCCTCCTCCGCCCGCCGCGTCGCTCTGCAGTTCCCGGATGGCCTCCTTATGTACTCCCTTCCCCTCGCCGACATATTTCGCTCCTTCTCTTCGACCACCGACGTCCTCGTCCTCGCCGAACCCACCTATGGCGCCTGCTGCCTCGACGACTACGCCGCCTCTGCCTTGTCCGCCGACCTCCTTGTGCATTACGGCCACTCTTGCCTCGTCCCCGTTCCCTCCTCCCTGCTCCCGGTCCTCTATGTCTTCGTCGACATCCGCATCGATGTTCCCCGCCTAGCCGCCACCGTACAATCCGCTTTAGCGCCTCCACGCTGTCTTGCTCTGGCTGGAACGGTGCAGTTCGTCGGGGCTGTCCACGCTGCGAGATCGCTTCTCGAGGCTGAGGGATTCAACGTCGTCGTTCCCCAGGCGAAGCCTCTGTCGCCTGGCGAAGTACTTGGATGCACCGCGCCGACCATGCCGAAGAGCTATGGTGTCGACGTCGTCGTGTTCGTTGCCGATGGAAGGTTCCACCTTGAAGCCTTCATGATTGCCAATCCGGGAATTCCAGCTTATCGATACGATCCCTACCTTGGCGTGTTGGTTTTGGAGGAGTACGATCATGAGGGGATGAAGAAGGCCAGGAAAGACGCCATCTTTGCGGCCAGGGAGGCCAGGAATTGGGGAATTGTTCTTGGGACGCTTGGCAGGCAGGGGAACACGAAGGTTTTGGACCGAGTCGTGGATAAAATGGAAGAGAAGGGGTTGGACTGGACTGTGGTGCTGATGTCAGAGATATCACCTGGACGGATGGAGCTTTTTAGGGATAGTGTGGATGCTTGGGTTCAGATTGCATGCCCTCGGCTTTCTATTGATTGGGGTGAGGGATTTTCAAAGCCTATGCTTACCACATTTGAGTTGGACATTGCCTTGGGTATTATTCCTGGTTGGTGGGAGAAAGATAGAAGAGCGGGAGCAAGGAATACGATGCACTGTCAACAAGGCTGTAGAAAGAAACAAACTTGTTCTGGTACAGGCTGCTGCCAGAGCAGTGATTCCTGTTGTGGTTCTGCTGATGAAGGGACGGATTATCCCATGGATTATTATGCTCTGGATGGAGGAGACTGGAATAGCTCTTATGTGAAGAGGAAAACTGCTACCATTGAGGTTAAGCTCTGCAACTGAATAGGTAACAAGCCTTTGAAGTATGCCCTGTATTAGTATTTAATTTTTACAAAAACTTCTGTCATTCTTCTTGGCTTTTTAATCATATCATCTTGTGATCAAAACTGCAGGCAAAAGATGTAGCATTGCATGAGTCAATGTTTATTACTAAATAATATAATTGGATGCTCAACAGTAAACTCAATCATTTTTACTGTATTTTTAATATGGCAATTAGTGTTGTCTGAAAAGCTCCTAGTTTGCACCAGCTTTTGTTCTGCCCACTAAGGAGCTAGTTTTCGATTTGTTTTCTTTACAAGCCGAACACAAGCGGAGCCTTGTTTGATTGTGTTTGTCTTGTTATTGCGACAGCAAATTTATTAACTGATTATTTGATTTTTTTTTCATTTATTTAAAGTTGTCTCAAACTGAATGAGCCGAACATGAATACATGAAAATATGAGTGAGGTGAACATGATGCATGGTATGCTCACTCAATCACGACTCATTTACACTCCTAATTGTGACGCAGCCAAACAATTCCATCTTCTCTAAAGATTTTGGCAAATTAGCTCTTAGTCAAAAGTAGTGTGAAGCTTGGTCTGAAGTAATAGACAATTAATTGTTTCTAAGCAAGCCCATGACTTCCATCAATATAAAATACTAAACACCAAACAGTTCTCTCCAATAATTTTGCTTTTTCAATTGTGGCAAACTTATATGTAAGAACCATTATTATTTTGTTTGGTTTTATGTGGATTGACAATGAATAAGATATCATATTGTTTAGGCTATTTAAAGCAAACTTGATCTTTTATTGACATTTTGTTAATATTTATGATTCTCTCAAATTGATATTATAGTTTAGATGGCATGACTTATAATAAATAAATCCCTTTAGTAAAGTACAAACTATCAGTTATTTATGCGTGATAAACAGACATTTGCTTGCCCACTTGAAGTCAGTGATATGAATATGCTCATTGGTTTTCTTATTGTAGGTAGTTAAAAAGTCAATCAACAACAGTCACGAACTCACCAAAAAAAAGAAGAACCTGGTCAATAAAAAAGATTTTGTAAAAATCGAAGACTTTAGAATATGTTATCTAGACAGATAAAATACATAAGATAATACATCAATTAGTGAAGAGGAAGTAAAAGAAATTTGTTGCATGGGAAGCATCATCATGAACCAAAACTCTTCAAATTATGTAACCATAGACCTCCAGTTCTTCTCAAATCGATGATAAACTATTCTAGTGTTAACCTAGTAGTCATTTCACAAGCATGATTGTTTCGTTTAGGGATCTCCTGATGCTCTCGTTAATTGATGAAAAGTTTGTTTGATGAAGTCCTTTGATTATAATGTGCATAATATCTATTGGTAGATTCATCTTTTTTTTCTCATGTTTTATTCTAAAAAATCAAATAATTCATCGCATATTTTCTATGAAAGCATTTATTTTGATGTGCTTCATCTATGGTGACTTATTGTCATAGTATTTTGTTATCCCATTAGGAAACATATAGTTTTGGGATAAATAGAATTGTTTTTAATATAACGCTCACCCAATGAGTGCAAGCTACCTTCCCGGTATTGCATGTTTAAGCCTTTTGCATTTGCAGATTATATAGGGACAAGTAGTGGATCATGTTAATGTCATTGCTTAATAGGTAATCAACCCGTGCAGTTGGCTTGAAAGTGCATGTTTTTTCAACATCTATTTTTATTCTCATAAATATCTACCATATACTGCTGAGAGTACTTTTTTTACTTTGGATCATCATGACTTTTTGGTGATTTCTACCCTCAACGACTATTGAGCATCAAAACTGAAGTAAACTACTCAACCTTTTACCAACATTTAACTAAAAGTTAAAGATAAATTATTGGATGAGCTAGAGCTTAGCATTCGATGTTTGATAATTTTATGAATTCCAATTATTTATTTGGTGGAAGGTTTATGAGGTAAATTTGAATTATTTGAGGTTTCTAACTTGATAATTGATGTAATTAAGAGAAATGATAAGATCTCTTTTGGTATAAATCCATGAACTTGTGTGGAACTATCCATGTGCAAGATCATTGGAGTATTTAGCATATAGTTCTATATGTTTAAAATATTCATGGTTGGATTCTAATTAGCTTTTTGCATCATAGGATGTGTTGAAACAAATTAGGGTTATAGATTGATTTCCATCTATCATAAGTGCAGCTTCTCACATTTTTTTTCACCATCAGCCATGAGAGCCTTGTCTTTAAATATCATATAGCTCATGTCCTTCATACTCCCAACTTGGACCCTCTAAAAGCTTAGTTCAAGTTATTAGTCCACTTGGGCTGCTTTTTCCACACCTTGAAGGACACCAAATTACAATGAATTAAGGTCTGTTTGGGGCAGCTGCAGTTGTTTGAAGAAGTTTGAAGAAACAAGTGTGAAACTGTTATAGAAGAAACAGTTTTTCAAAATGTTGTAATGGCTATCACAAATTTATTTTATTTTCGAAGAATCAAATCGTAGCTTTCTGACAGTCATCACATCGTAATAGCTCAGATTGAAAAAAGTGGCTTTCTGGCACAAAGTTTCCTAAAAAGCAACAAGAAAGCATTTCCCCAAACAGACCTATGGATAAAAGATAGTGGTCTGAAAAGCAAAATAGACAGAAAATTGTTCCAAATAGACTTTTTGTAGGATAAAGGATTTTGGAAGAGGTTATTTTCTTAGGTCAGTTTTGGTTTTTACAATTCTTCTCCTCCAACCTAAGGATAACTTAGAACCTTGTTCCTACTCTTATAAGATCCATCTTCATTGGGATTAAAAATAGGTGAATTGACACACTTTTGAGACACATAAGAAATTATAAAATTCATAATTTCAAGTTTAAAATGATCAAAGCTTTTAAATATTTTTCGGTTAGTAATAGACTTTCTCTGTCCAAGGCATTGACATGATTGAAAGATCAAGTATATGCGTTGTTGCTCTTACCAAGCATTTCCCATCTAGCTTTAGAAGGTGCAGCTATGAATTCTTTCTTGTGAAAAACTAGTGGTCTACTTTTTGATTGAGCAATAAGGGCAAAGATTAACTCTTAAATACAGCTTTTTATGACCAAATAGGTAGCAAACATTAACTCTTACAATATGATTGTTCTTTCTTTTAAGTAAACAAGGGATGGAGAATAATTATCAATAGTTATTTAATTTAAATTTGGGCCTAAAATAAGGATTTTGCTTCAAATATATGAATAAAGACATGTTGATTACGAGAGTCAAATTGCATAAATCCATTCAAATAAGAAGTGTATGATAACTCTTCAAGAACAATTTGAGTTCATAGTGATAAAAGCGAATTTGATAAACGAGGCTATAATTATCCAATTCACATGTTGTTGTTGTATTTAGAGTAAAAAAAATACAGAAAAATTTTCTGTCTGGACTCCAGACGAAACTCTATTTGCTGACTCCAATAATACGTCGTCATGTGTGTTACGTCGCGGATGTTATTTTGGCGTTAATGAAATGAAACAGCGGAGGTTATTTCTGGGTTAATAAAGAGAAACTCTTATATTTCATTTCAATAACCACGAAATAACCCACAAATAACTCTGAAATAACCTCCGTATATCCACTTCAATAACCACGAAATAACTCAAGTGTAACCTCCATTGTTCCACTTCAATGACCCTGAAATAACGTTGTGGAGGTTATTTCAGTGTTATTTCTTGGTTATTTTGGGGTTATTGAAGTGGAATATATGAGTTTCTCTGCAATAACTCCGAAATAACCTAAAAATAACATATTCGGTGTTATTTCGGGTTATTGAAGTGGAACCGCGGAGGTTATTTCGTGGTTATTTCGGAGTCCACGATTCCACTTTAATATTTTTTTAGTTGGACTCGATACACACACATGACGGTATATGCACTCATGACGATATATTATTTGGAGTCCGCACGTAGAGCTACGTTCGGGATCCGGATAGAAAAAATTTTCCCACAAATACGCCCTGACCAATGAAAGAGTTTGTATACTATTGTTGATCGTAACTTCTGGATAGACTTTGGTCAAGAAAATAGAATGATCAATCTATATCCATTGTTAGCCAGACAACTTTATAATATGATTAACAAAAAAAAATGGATAGTTATGGAAGGTTTTGCAATTATTATCATCAAGTATAGCAAAATAGATATTCATGCCTTTAAATTCTTTCAAATGTAAATTATATATATATATA